AAAAAAAAAAAAAAAAAAAAAAAAACAACTTCTGGACACAAAGCAAATAGCCGTCAGGAAAAACAGACTTAATATCGCTGTCTAGGGTGGGCGCGGTGGCTTATGCCTGTAATCTCAGCACTTTGGGAGGCCGAGGCAGGCGGATCATTTGAGGTCAGGAGTTCGAGACCAGTCTGACCAACATGGTGAAACTTCGTCTCTACTAAAAATACCAAAAAATTAGCCAAGCATATTGCGCATTCCAGTAACCCCAGCTACTCAGGAGGCTGAGGCAGGAGAATCCCTTGAACCCAGGAGGCGGAGGCTGCAGTAAGCCAGGATCGCGCCACTTCAGTCCAGCCTGGATGACAGAACACAACTGTGCCTCAAAAAAAGCAAACAACAACAAAAAAATTGCTGTCTAGGATCTCAGCTTGTCTCTCCCACACTCCCATCCCCTCCGTTCCCTCCCAGTCTATCCTCTGGGGTCCTGGACTGGGACGGATGAGTCACAAGGAGCCTGGAGCTGGCAGCGCCACGCTTAGGGCAGGCTAGTCTGGAGGGACAAAGGAACGATATTTCCGGGATACGGAAACAAGGGCGAGAGATGGTCACCGCAGGAAACATTCAGCTGGAGCTCTGCCAAGACAGAGCAGGGGGGTGAGCCCTACCAGACCGCCCAGACAGGCTGGACTGGAGGCTCCCTATTGCCCTTGGAACAAATTCTAGCTCCCTAGCACGTCTGTGACTCCCCGCTTGCCTCCTGCTATCCTGGACTTTTTAGTTCTTTGAAAAGGACTCAAAGCCCAGAGTCCTTAGGCTTTGATGCCAGCCAGTCCCAGCCACCCCAGAAGGCCTGATTTAGGATTTCAGAGCCAAACATCCCCGGGTTTGAATCTTGGCTCAGCCAACCCCAGCCTCCATTTGCTCATCCAAGCAATGGGTGTAATAATGATCATTCTAAGGCCAGGCATTGTCTTTGTAAATAAAGTTTTATTAGGGCTGGGCATGGTGGCTCATGCCTATCAACTCAGCACTTTGGGAGGTCGAGGTGGGAGGATCGCTTGAGCCCAGGAGTTTGAGACCAGCCTGGGAAACATAGCAAGACCCGATCTCTACCAAAAATTTTAAAATTAGCTGGGCATGGTGGTGTGTGCCTTTGGTAGTCCCAGCTACTTGGGAAACTGAGGCAGGTTAATCGCTTGAGTCCAGGAGTTGGAGGCTACAGCGAGCTAGGATTACTAGCTCTGTACTCCCGCGACGGCAACAGAGCAAGACCCTGTCTATAAAATAATAATCATAGTAATAATTCTAAACACTCCCGATATGTGGGCACAGGCCTCTGATCCTTTGTCAGTTTTTACCTTCCAGAGCATTCCAGGAGTCATCATCCCTGTAACCAACCCCAGTAACCTCGCCCTGGCTCA